TTTGGTGAATATACAATCCTTTTATGGCGGAAATTTCTGTGAGAGTTCGAATGGAACTAATTCTAGCAACTGGAGCATAGGTGTCGAAATAATCGACACCCTCTTTCTGTCTATATCCTTTTGCCACCAATCTAGCCTTGAAGGATGATATTGAACCATCAGGGTGCATCTTTCTTTTGAATATCCACTTGGAACCAATGGGTTTCACCCCTATTGGCAAATTTGCCAGCACCCAAGTTCCATTACCCAAAATGGAGTCTATCTCATCATTTATGGCTTCTTTCCACATTGGAACATCCCTTGAAGTTATGGCCTCTTTAAATGTTTTGGGATTCTCTTCAGTACTGATAGATAAAATGAACTCTCTTGTCACTTTATTTTGAGTCCCCTGTACCAAGTACAAGAAAAAGTCATTTCCCATATTTTTCTCTTTTCTCACTCTTGTGCTTCTTCGTGGTTCGTCCGCCTCTATAGAGGTTTTGGAATTGGCACGAGATGAACAAGAGGGATTAGAGGCCAATATTGGTTCTGATTTTTCAGCATCTTTTGAAAATCTATCTTCAAAGAACTCCACATCTTCGGATTCTACTATAACTCCTGACTTTTTGTCCAATAATCTATAAGCCTTGCTATTTACTGCATATCCAACGAATATGCTCTTAATAGCACGGGCTCCCAATTTAGATCTTTTTGGATCAGGAGTTCTATAGTATACAACACATCCCCAAACCTTTTGATAGTTTAGATTTGGTTTTCTACCTTTCCAGAGCTCATATGGACTGGTTGGAATCACACGACTAGTGATTCAATTGTGAATATGACAAGCCGTCAACAGGGCTTCTCCCCAAAGATTGTTAGGCAACCCTGATTGATTCAACATACAGTTGACCATTTCAATAAGGGTTCTGTTCTTTCGTTCCGCCAAGCCATTTTGTTGAGGAGTAAATGGTGAGGTCCATTTATGTTTGATACCATTCTCTTCACAGAATGTATCAAATTCTCTATTAAAATATTCACCACCTCTGTCTGATCGAAGTATTTTTATCCATTTTTCAAGTTGATTTTCGACTTCAACTTTGTAGAGTTTAAAAGACTCAAAAGCTTCATCTTTTGAATGTAACAAATAAACTTGTAAAAACCGACTGAAGTCATCACAAAAAGTTATGAAATACATTTTACCTCCTCGGGTAAGTATTCCATTTAATTCACAAATATCCAAATGAATTAATTCTAAAATTGATGTATCCCTTTTAACAGAAGGAAAAGGTTTCTTTGTAAACTTTGATTTTACACAAGTTTCACATTTTCCAAAGTCTTTGTTATCAATTTTGATTAAACCTTTGTTATGCATCTTTTCAATATTTTTCACATTTGTATGCGTAAGACGTTTATGCCATAAATAAATAGAACAAACAGAATAATCCAAAGAAGCAAATTTATTAAAATCGTTCGGGATTACGTCACTATCAACCATAGAAACAGAAAATTTTGTATCACTATCAGACGTGGCTAACACATTACTTCCTACCGATTCACTCATTCCGTCCTCCTCACAACCATCTTCACTCAGATTAAGGCGATACATACCCAACTGTTTGTATCCCTTTCCAATAAAAACCTTCCTCTTGTAGATCACGACCTTCCTAGCCTCTATATTTATTCCAAACCCATTCTCATCGAGTTTGCTTGCAGAGACTAAGTTCTTGTTAATGGAAGGCACGTGAAGAACATTTCAGAGAGTGACGGTCTTGCCGGAAGTGAACTTCAGTAGCACAGTACCCATTCCAACGACATCTGTACGGCCGTTGTTTGCAACTATCACTTGTTTCCCATCTCTAACTGGTCCATATTCAACAAACTTGGACCTGGAGTCACAAACATGAACAGTGGCTCAAGAGTCCAAGTACCAACCACCTCTTGCAGCCACAATTCTCGTGGCGACCTCTGAAATCATGTCAATCTCTTCCATGTGGAGATTCGCCACAAGGTGTTGAATCCCCTTAACATAATTAGCAACAGGGGGTCCGGACTTTCGGTCCTTGCACTCACGAGCATAATGTCCCGTCTCTCCGCAGACGTGACATCTTCCGACCCTCTTAAACTTCTGTCCCGGGTTTGATTGAGTGTTTGATCTCTTAAAACTCTTCTTTTGTGGACCCAAGTTCCACTTCTTGTTTGGCCCTCCGGCCCTTCCCTTTCCCTTGCCTCCAGCCTGCACGTTGTTGGCATTCATCACAGACTTGCCTCTCCTTTCCCGATTACGTGCTTCTTCTTCAATATGCAGATGTTTTAGTAAATCGTCCAAAGAATAATCTTCGGTTTTATGCATCATTCTTTTTGAAAAATCTTTCCAAGATGGAGGCAGTTTGTCAATCACTGCCCCTACTTGGAAGATTTCAGGGATAACAATAGAAAGCATTTTCAATTTGTTTACTAAAATTTGGAGCTCATGCATTTGCTCCAGAATAGGTTTATCATCAACCATTTGGAATCTCAAATACTGAGACACAAGATATTTGTTAGTGCCATCTTCTTGTGACTTGTATTTGAATTCCAAGGCATTCCGCAACTCTCTAGGGCACATAATCGAGGAATACAGATCATACAGACGATCTGACAAAGCATTCTTAATGTGTCCACAAGCAAGAGTTTCCTCTTCCTTGTGGATCATTCTAAGCTTTTGTAGATCGGCAATTCTTTGAAGATCCGGTTGTTGTCCTGGTTTAGGGACCGGATCTTCGGGAATGGGAGGGAGACTTGAGTCCAAGACATAATAGAGTATCAACACCATGAGCATAAATTTCACTTTTTCCGCCCAACGAGTGTAACTCGACCCGTCAAACTTGTCCAATTTCATCATGTCTTGATTGAGAATACGGTAATTTCCGGTGTCCATTTGATATAAAACCTTTAAGATTGTTGAAAAATAATTCCAATAAGAAAATGAAAATTGATCTTTATAAAGTTTAATTATATTATAGTGAAAAAGGTTAAACTTTTTTTAATACAGACCCACTAAAAACCTCAATACGTCCAATTCACACAGATTGAATCTATCATTCGCGAGAGATCCGATAAAAGAAATGGGTAGAAGCAGAGTGTTCACTTAGTGAACGGAGAATTATAATACAATGCAAAAATTATAAAACCAACCTGTTTAAAATGCTGTCGATTCGGATGATGAACTGCACGGAAAACCTGTCCTTAAAGGTTTTATACGACCATTCTTAAGAAGCTATGAGTCTGCTAGTCGCAAAGCCCTAGGATTTGATGCAGTAGGTAATTCATTTGTGAACAGCAATCACAACGAATATAGAGCAGGTTTATGTAGCAAAATGGTAGAGAGAAATAGGAGTCAGGAGCAGAATTTCGTCAGAGAAGAAAACAGTTTTTGTATGTGAATAATGATACGGCTTCACCCAGTATCTATACTGGGTGAAAACCTAAAAGAGTCCCACGACTATCTCCACAAAATCGGAGATGGTGGGGAGAAAAATTCTCAACCGAATTTTATCTCTAAAACCAAGTCAAAAATCAGATTAATTCCAAATTAAAATTAATAATTATCCAAATTAAACTGATAATTCTCCTGACGAATTTCTATTAAAAAGATACTCGGAACTCGGGGGGAGGCTCCTTTGCGGCGTGCGAAGTGCAAAGTGCGCCTCCTCGCGCCACCTTCGCGAATCCCGTGCCCGCGCCCTCGGCCACGCGCGCGTGTATGTTGGGCCTTCCACTCAAGACCCCCACCATGAGTCCACTAACATGTTCAAAGCCTACTACTATAGAAAGCCTTATAAGCTTCTCTAGAAATCAACTCTCTACCAATGTGGAATGGAAGGTTAACTTCCAACCTACAAATTTCCAACATTAACATATGTGGGTTCGTTAAGACCAGTGTGAAAATTTTACGTGTTATTTTGTTATTAAGAGTATTTTGGTTAGTAGCTTGTGAGCTTGTAATAAATTTTCATACAACGAATTTTCTACTATGAGGATCCGTGTTTTCCAAAAAATATCAAAATTTTAGCATATTTAGCCATTTTGTATACATACTAGTTGTGTATCCGCACAATGCGGTGGAGCCGTGAATTTTAACGGTTTTGAAGTTTCATTGGTTTTCTTAGAGAAAATTTAACGATGATATAAGTTACATTTGGCCTTTACATATTAATACAATTTGAATAAATAAGAGTTATGGTTCCAATTACAGTCTATCGATGAAAAAATTATATGACAGTTTAAGATATAATATATTTAAAATCCAACATATTTAAACGACTCTACAAATGTGTTCGATTTACACCAAGAGCAAAGAATCAAGAGATCGAGAGCGAGACCGAGAGTTTTAGAGCAATTGAATGGGAAAACTTTTAATAACTCATGGTGAATATCAGTTTGAATCTCACATTGGGGGATGAGGAGAAGACATAGAGGTATGAGAGGGTGAAAACATGAGTGAAATGTGTCAAAAGTATCTTGGGAACATGAAAATAAAAGGTAATAATGTGCCTTAATAATTTTACTATATGTTATTTTAATTGTAGATTAAGAGATTTTAAGACTGAATGCATAAAATAGTAGTACTTAATGCATTATGAGTTGTTTTTAAGACTTTTAAAACTTTGTGCATAAATGTATAGTACTTTGTGCATTAAAAAATATTTTTAAGACTTTTGATAAATCTGGTTTATAAGGTAGTATAGATAATGTATGATAGCAAATTATTATAAATTCTATTTGTTCAAGTATTATTTACAGGTGTTATTTTTATAATAACTTGTAGTAATTCCTATTTCTCGATTTACAATAAAGTTTTACATTCTCGTTATATCACATGAACCACTTTTTATATAAGATATTGCTCATTGGTTTATAATTGGCAAACATGGTGGATGCGACAGATTGATAACAGGTAGGCTAGATTGAGTTGAGCCGAGTCGATCCATCAACATTCATAAATGATTAATATGATCACGAAAGCTATTATTAATTAAAAAACCACATTATTAGCACTTAATTGTATATAAGAGTAACAAAGTCTCATCTACGATTTTCTTGTTTCATTTGGTTTGGTTTTAACGGCAATATCAGGTAAGTTATCGTTGTTGCAAGTTGCAAGTGCGGAAGAGAGTAAGAAATCGTGTTCGTAAGCATAGGCTTTCGCTGACCGTTGTTTATCATCAGGTAAGTTATCGTTGCTGCAAGTGCGGAAGAGAGTAAGAAATCGCGTTCGTAAGCATAGGCTTATGCTGACCGTTGTTTGAGATCAATTCATTTGGGATTTGTGGACCGTTGTTCGTACTTGGTGACCGAACTTCTCTCGTATTCTTCTCCTTTGATAGTATTTTTGCGAACCTAAAATAGCATTCGTTTAATCAAATATGTATTTATGTACGTATTTATGTATGTACATATCTATGTATGCAAATACAATACCTTATTAGAGCTTCTTCATTGGTAGTGCAACGATAAGGTTCGTATATACCCGTCCCCAAATTCACCTTCGACACCGGTTTCTTCAACAACTGCTCGCCAACATTCACGAGATCTTCCAAGTTCTTTTCGGTTGTAAGATCCATTGAAGCCAGATCTCCGCTCAAAGTGTCATCCTAAATCATTTCAACATATGTAATATGAAAATATCGTTTGTTTGTTTTTTTCGTGGTTAATTAAGAATTGTAGTGGTTTTTTATACCTGAACACGAAGGTAATTCTCTCCCGAATGCAGGGCTTGGAAGACGGTAGAAATATGATAATCGACCATATCACCACTCGATTGAGTAAATACATCTATCAAGGGAGTCGAGCCACTACTAGCCAACCACCCAAAAACGCCCCAACTAGATGACGTATTAGCGTCATACTTCTCTTCATATTTCGGCGACCCCGTCCCTAATGACAAAACCAGAAAACGCCCATATTCTGTTGGTTTTATCGGAAAGAAATCGATACTACCTCCAGTTATCTCTTGTGTCACTTCACTTATCGCAACCAAAGTCTGTAAACAAATATCGATTATAATGTAAACACTACTAGAAAACTGACTATTTCCGACGAACATAAAAAAAGTCAACTTTCGTTGACTTCGCCAATAACCCATCGGAATTCCGCCACTGAATATTTATTTGAAAAAAAAAATTCCCATAAGATTTCCGGCGGAAATAAAAAATTAAAACTTTAAAAATTAATTAACTTTAATTACATTAATCATGAAAAAGTAAACCATACTCTAGTCCATGTACCTCTTTTCCTTTGATGATAATTATCAATTTAGCTTATGATTCATATTAAATATTCTAACGTTTTCTTTATTCTATAAGAAATTCAAGCCTTAACGACCCAACGAACGGAAAGAGGAAGAGGAGCGCCATCGGAGGGAAGATGAGCTTCGCAGGAGAGGAATGAGAGACGGGAGAAATAGTTTGAAGAGATGACTGCTTTGGTCAGGCAATTCAATCAGTCTCAACAGTTTTCGTCGCAGAGTATGGGAAGGAAATATATGTCGGAAATTATATTTTTTTTATTGGGCAGAAATATATGTCGGAAATTTGCCAGAAAGTTAATCACGATTAAAAAACCGGTAATTAAGTCGATATTTTTTAAAGAAATTAAATAATAGAAGTGGCAGATTTCCGGCGAAAAAATGGAGAAACCACCGGAAATGTTTTTTCAGTTGCCTACTTTTCCGGCAGACCAAATCCCCAGGAAACTCCTTTTCCGCGGATTTGGCCGCCGGACATACAGACCTGTTTGGTAGTGAAACTACGTCTTGATAAAAAAGATAGGTGCCAACTTATACCGGATTATTCGCAGCCACCCCTCCATCGATAAGATTGAATTCCCCCAACAATTTCCCTTCAGAATCTTGGGTTTCAAACGTATGGGAAGGAAGATAAGTTGGCGCAGCCGATGTTCCAATGCATATATCCGATAGCATCGCATCCAGGCTCGGGTTTTTCTTCAGCTGAAACATCTCAAGTTCATCGATCGTTTTCTAACAAAAAATGAAACCCACGATCGAAAATTACAATTCCAGTAAATTAACCTGATAACTTGAGAAGATGGTGGGCTGCATACGTTTGATATCAAATGTTGGGATCACAACATTGGTCAAGGTTTCATGGAGTCTTATGTTTCCCACTGTTTCTTGAATAAGTTCATGTAAATATACACCATCGTACTTTGGTCCAGTTAGAGCTCTGATCACCTTTTCAGCATGACCAAATGGATTGCTAAAAGTTGCTTCCAAAAATATATCAGTTTAATTTATACAGACACCTTAATTCATACAGAAAAATTAATGTAAACACAATCAGACAACACCTTAACAATCTTCAGAAACTTGTAATCTTTGATGTGGTTAATTAATTAAGGTACCTATCATGTGGGAAGATCCTAGGACAATGTTCAAGGTAGAAGTTGGTTATGTCCTTAGCTGCGAAAAGGGGACGGTTTTCTTCGTTGGGGACGGTTAACATCGCTGACACGAGGCCTCCGGTGCTTGTCCCAGAAATTACATCAAAGTAATCTGCTAGCCGTGCATTCTCGCCGTCTAATTTCTGCAAATATGTTTGATTTGTGCATAAAATCTTGTGTTTGTGTGTTTAGAAATTAACATATATGGTATTATAAGATTGTACCTGAAGTTCGGTTTCTAAGAAGTTAAGGATGACGCTTGGAATGATTCCTCGTACTCCACCTCCATCGATGCTTAGGATCGTGATCAGGTTTCCATATGATGGTCGTTGCAAAGGCAACCGTGGTGCTTCCTCAGAAGACATGATTTATAATATATGTTTAACGTTAAAAAAGTTTTGATTCTTTTATATAGCTAGAGAGAAGCGAGTTCGAAAGATTATAAGTTCTGATGAACTGAGTGTGGATGAGTTCGTTTGTGAAATGAGGTTATTTATGGTGTTGGTAGAAGACCCGTTAGGGGCTCGGCCCGTTCAAATTCGTTGGTCAAATTAAAGACGTGATAAAGAATCATTCCACACTTCAAGTTACAATAATCAACTTTACTGTTTTTTTTTTTTTTTTGAAATGACGGGTCAAAAACTCCAATCACAAGTACTGAAAAACCGACTAAATTAAATACTCCAGATAAAGGTTGAAGTATTCTATTTAAGTTTAAACGGTATAAATGGCATCACACCACACATTTTGTGGTTTAAGACATGTAAGGTTTGGAAAAATGCTTAAACCACACATGCAGTTTGGTTGCAGTTTTGGACAAATCGCACCACAAACACCCCTACTGGAAACTATGTGACACATTGAGATGTTTGTTGAGGCGGTTGCGAAGTTTTGTGACAAATTCAGTATATGCACAATCAATATCACAAATCGAAGAGAACCCACTTAGGTCGACTTAACGACTTCAATTTTGTTTGTTCCAAACTTATAAGATATATTGTATCCTCTATATATTGTTTCGGCATTAGACTTTCTTAACTGAATTATCTGGACCTTTTACAATTTCATCTTTTTTGATTGAATATAAAGATCTGTTACAAGATTGAGTAGAATCCTAAAAATAGATGCATCTCCATGTGGTGGCCATAGAATTCAACTCAACGTACGTTATCGTTTAGGTTGTTAGGAAGATACGTCATTAATATCCGACATCCACTCTAATTTCGATGTAAAGGCTCAACAACTTATTCCATTTAAAAAAATTCTATTTTTAGAGTTGTCAAAAGCTTTCATCATCAAGCCCATTTATAGATGTTGTAGCATATCAAAACACATTGGATGCATTTTTTTTTAGACAAAAAAAGTGACTTAAATGAAGAGTAAAAATGTCATTATAACAACACCTCTCTTTCCATACAACAAATTTGAAAAAGGGTAACTATGGATGGTGCCTGATTGGTTTGAGCTTGGTTCCAAGGTCAAAAAGTACCAGAAGGTCCCACGTTCAAATCAAAAGAGGAATAAAAATCCTCTTGTGGTCACGGAGGTTCAAATACGGTGACTCCGGGCTATTTGCAAAGTAGGTGGTCGCCCTGGGATTAATCGGCTCGCATAGCAAGTTGGATATCCAGGTCAATAAAAAAATTGAAAAAAGGTTAAGAAACCCAAATTCAAAACAAAACCAACTTTGAAGAAAAATCGTGTAAAGAAATAAAAATTTATGTTGAAATAAATGTATTTATGAAAAGGGGGGGGGGGATACTTTGACGAGAGTGGAGTCCGTGCTATCATTCAACCTTAATTTATAAGAAAGAATTCTTTTTGGTTACATAAGGTGTACCCGCCCGCTAAAGTTTTGGGGTGTGCTCCGAGATATTAAAGTTTTTGAAGGGTTAAAGGTGCACATGTGTTGTAAACAATCAAAAATTCGAAAAATGCTTTTGGAAAAAAAACCAAAAAAGCCCCTTAAAATCAACCAAAAACTTAAAAAATCTCTTGAAATCAAGCAAAAACTTTAAAAAGAAACCCCAAAGACGGAATTCGACTAAAAACACATCGAACGGCTTTACGAGCATTTAAAGGTGCATTCGCTCGATAAAAATCCTGGATCCACCACTGTGAATATAACATCTTTTATATATGAAGTTAATAAAGGATGCCAACTTAGTATTAGGGGTGCTCAAAAACTCGACCAATCCGATCAACCCAACGCGAAATAACCTAACCTGAAGCAACCTGATGTCTAATCGAGTTGTAAAATTGTCAAACCGTAGGTATTGAGTTGATATTGAGTTATAATTATTTGAATCCAACACAACCCGATGAATCCGATATCCTTTTATTTCTTGGATTTAATATGATTGTTGAATTTCTATTAATATATACATTAGACAATTACACTATCATATATGGTTTTCATATACACATATTTTCAATCTATTCACATTTCTATATAACTCATTTGTATATATGTTCAGTAACTGTGAACATATATAGGTAAATTGAGAAAATTAACTAAATGTGATATACGTAAGAAATATGGATAAATTGTATCAAATGGTTGATGATGAAAAAGAAATTATGAGTACAGAAATAACATATTCAAGGTTAGAAGAATATTTCAATATACCAAAGTATCAACCCGACCAACTCGTTGGGTTGCACTTTGGGTTGGGTTGGATTAAGATTTTTTCAAACCGCAAGTATTGAGTTAGGTTGTTCAAATGTCTTCAACTCGATCAACTCAACCCATAAACACCCCTACTTACTATCTACTCAAGGTTAAAATAAAATGATTACACTTAAATCATGTGTTGTTTTTAAAAGTAAAGATGTTATATGCTCCATTAAAATTTTAATTGACTTCCCACCAAAAACAAATCGGTTTTTTTAGACTATTTTTCATATATAAATTTTATTAGAATTTAAAACGATTAATAACGTTTGAAAGATAATAACAAATGACACATTAGAAATCTAGATGGGTCTTAAGGTCTTGTTTGTTAGTAGTTTAATAAGCTTAAAGATACTTGCAACTTATTATTTTAGCTATAAATGATTGTTTCGTAGTTGATAATGATATAAAAATTGACTTATTCAGTAAGCATTTAGAGGGGTTTATGTCGAAAACCAAATTTTTTTCAACTTGTCTCTCCTAATTATAAATTTTTCCAAACTTCACATAAATTAATTCGCATTTAACAATTTTAACTATATGCAATTTCATTTATGGACAAAAGTGAAATATGAAAACAGTTTAGGGACCATTTCTGTAATTCAAGGCAAGAATAGAATCCCTGGAGCAAGAGTGTTCTAGAAGCCTACGGAGCAATGGTGTAACTGGTGAAGAAGATGATATCTCCTTACTCTTCGATCTTGAGGACTCACTACACCAACGCCGCCTCTGTTCACTTCCTTCAGGTAACTTTATTTCCTGATCCTTGATTTCGCTGGATTATATGAACATATGGATTCTTCAATAATGAATTGAGATGTTACTGATATGTTCAATTTGCGTCTCCGGTACCATTATGGTTTTAGGGAAAACCATGTTATCAGGATCTTCAAAACACTAATTTCTTAAGGACTCGGTTAACTCAGTAGTCGTTTGAGCATAAATCGAATACCAGGTGATTGACTGATTGGCTCCAAAAGGTCCAAATTTTAAGCTAGATACATGAAAGGATGGGATCTATGCTATTATTGTTGCAGTTTTGCCTTTTCAGTTGTTGTGTAAATGATTAACTATTTTTACTAAATCTTCAATAAGCAATTCCTATTTTTAATTGGAGTGACGGTTCAAGCATCAAGCTCCATGAGGAGATGTTGAGGATGACTTTTATCGCATAAAAGACAAAGTTTTAAAGTGGAGAGCTGCCACGGAAATATTGTGCGACAAGAAAGTCTCGCTAAAATTCGACCATCAAACCAGCTATGACCGGTTCCATTCATTGGATATTATTATTGAATACCTACCGGATCAGATTGAATTCATCCAATGTTTTGATTCAATTGTCAAACCAATTTATTTACCATTTCAATCATTTATTCATATATTTCTCTAAAAATGCTACAGAAAATATCAAATAAAAAGGAAGAATGTATTCATAATAATATATATAAAGAAATATTCAAATATGGTGACAAGTTCTAATTCTAATTGTGATATAGCCAAAAGGAAGTCTTAAGAACTTGTACACCCATCTAATTGTCCCATCAACAGTTCCATACTTCATCCAATAACATGTATTCAAGAGGCACCAACAAGTCAGCAACACAAATCAATCTATTATGATATCTCCAACTCCAACCAACATTTCTACAAAGTTAAAAAGTGGAAAAACAATATGCATTTGTACTTCAAATTTTAAGTTGAGTTGAGAGTTGATGGGAGTCTGGTAAATTGCAAGTCTATTTCAATAACAACACACACTTATCAACATAAAGCAGAAACTTTTAGATACATGTCAAAATAAGGGGCTCTTCGATTTGGGGACTCCAACATGCATGAAGGCAACAAAAACTAAAACAACCACCAATCCAACACCAGTATTGGTCGGTCCTGGATTGCCATCAAGAACTCACCAATCCAATTTGGATCCCATCCAATCCAAGTACAATTGAATATCGAATTATGATGTGTCAGTTCTAATTGGAACGGATGACTTTTTGTGCACCCCTACTCGAACCATAACGGGCTGTATATTGAATGAGGTCTCCTGAGCAGAGTTGGGAGTTGTGCATATGACAGGTAAGTAGAGGGAGCGAAGATTGTGGTGGTTTGGAAAGGTAAGCAAGAGGCAAATGACGAAATTATATAAAGTATGACAGGCAAGGGGGTGAGGAGGGGCATGCCAAGAAAAACGTGGATGGTCAGTTGAGAATGGACATGGAGGCCTTAGACTTTTATGAGGACATGCCTGCTGATATGAGTTCTTGAAGATGCACAACAAGGGTAATAGACTATATGTAGGACTTGAACTAACATGGACAGGAGGGGAGACTGAAGAGGTATGGGGTGAGTCCCGGGGGGGGGGGGGGGGGGGGGGGGTGTAGTAGAGAGCTGCCAGATTGGTTACCAAAGGCTTATGTTAGATAGAGGGACCATGAACGTTCAGTTTCTCATACTTTTCATGTGTTTTACTATACCTACTTGTGTAGTTTTTTTTAATTGTATACTGTATACTATCTTAGTTTTCTGCCTGTCCTAGCAGTGTAGGTATTGTGCCTTGTGTATTGTTGTAACCTTACTATATATGATGCTTGTTTGAACACACTGTTTTGCTACTTTTATCACCCATCACTTGCACTATTCTTTCCTAATAAATTTTGAATTGTAAGTTAGGGGTCTTCACGAAAACGGCCTCTTTACCCCTTGGGGTAGAGGAAATGTCTACGTGCATCTTTCCTCCTAGACCCAAAACCTTCAAAATGGGATATACTGGATTCGTTTGGTTTAGAGAATCATGGATGATAACCTTTAAGCCGCGGCCAAGTGCACATTGCACGGAACGACACAATTGTAATGCCCCACATATGTACACATCTGTTTGTATGTGGCAAACTTAGTTGAGTTCCTCAGAGTTCCCTTTTATCTGCGTGCATGTGTTCATATATTGAGTTTGATATTCTCCATCTTTATATTGCAATACGTGGCAAGGTGATTCAAACTTTCTGTAGCAAGGGTGTAATATATAGTTTTTCAAAAATGTTGTCTAACTGATTAAACTTATAGTTTAGTCAGTTCACATAAGAAAGTTAGAGAAATCGAAATGCTTTGATTTATTGCAACTGGGTAGAGATGGCAGAAGTACACAGAAGGAATTAAGGTATCTTGATAATTCTGGTGGTTTTACGCCACAACCAAGATTCAGATGGTGATTTAGGCAGAGGTGGAACAAGAAGAGCCTTCCTACAGAGACCAAAAGGCCAGCCCTCACAATGACAAAGCTCTCGAATGATAGACCGCCTCCTCCTGAAGATTGGGAATTCAAAACTACCTGTACTCGAACATCGAGAAAGATTTGTCTTTACAGACTTAAATGCTTCTGCAGTTGTAGCGCTTGAGCATCGAGAAAGATGACTACAAGAAGAGTAGAATTCATCCATATCTTCAACATCACTTGCATGCTGTGTTTCCTTTTTGGTGGGAAGTAACTCAGTTGGGGAGAAACCCCATATGAAGCTATCAACTGTAAGTCCAACCTTCCTCTTTGACTTTGCTTCCATGTATCTACTTAGCACTGCTGAAACAAAAACCTGAGGAAGAAATGCATACATATATAAACACCGGAGAATATGTGGGATGCCATTAAATTACATTCCAAAAGAGCCCTTGCAGAGGAAATGAATTAGCTAGAAATACATCATTCAAATGCAGAGGTATATTACTTGGTGTTCATCGTCGTAATCACTGACATCATCATCTTCTTGTTCGAGGTCTGGGGTTTGAAAAGAAATCTTTGTGCAGAAAGTATGGCAGGTTGCAAGAGCATCCTTGAGGAAATTGCATCTCTTGGAGGGGTTTGGTGGTTGTTCATAGGTCATGATTGAAAGAAAAGCATGGAGTTGAGGTATGGTTTACAGAAGACAAGTATTTATACTGCTTTTGGTATTCAAATTTGAATCTGATTAGAAAACACTTTGTTTCTTCTTCATCCTTTGGGTTGAAGACAAAGTAAAAGAATGTTTCTGAAAAGATTATGTTGTAATTCATGATATGATCCTTTGAAAAGCATCTGATGCCAAATCGATGGCAACAGGTGCGATTTATGTGCTTAGTTAGTGCTTTGTAGTTCTAAGTTTTTACTTCAATCCTAAGTGATAGTAACTGCCACCAAACTTTGATTACTAATTCAAAGTAATGCTCATAACCTGAACAGATATCCCTCATTCGAGGGGGACATAAAATCACATTTGTGGTTAAAAAGGAGTCATTTCAACTTTTAGGAGCTGTAAGTGGTTTGTGCACAATGATTCGGTGACATTTAATTAATTTCCGCATGTTAAACCAAACCAAACCAAACCAAATCAAATCAAACATATATGGTATGAGTCACTATTTGTTCGTTAAAACTATTTCAATATTCTAAACATAAAAGGTTAAATAATGTCCTCTATCATAATCTAGCTTCTAGTAGTAATATGAAATTAACCAATACATAAAAATGTCCCTTTCCTTTCTATAACACAACCAAGCTCCCTCCTTTATAATCACTATGAGAAAGGAAATATGATAGAATTAAAGTAAATATCTCTAGTTTATGCCATGGTGACCATCAAAAATCTAGGTTGGGTTTTTGTGAGAATAAAAGTTAAGGTGAGAAGTGTAAGAAGAGATTTGGACCATTGATCACTTTCAATCCAAAACAATTCATAAATTGTGATTTAGAAGGAAATTGATCCGGTAATGTTGATGTAGTGGTTCTTTTTAATTAGAATTGATTCAAGGGTGAAGATTTTTTCTTACCGTATTCACTATTATAACTTTTATTTTCACAATTTGAATTTACACAAAAGAAAGTGGAGTCAAAGAAAAGTTCCATTGCCATAGGCTATAGCCTTGTAGGGTTGTTCATTTGTCGGTTTCAAGTGCTAAAGTTTTTCTTTCGGTTTTTTCTGCAAACACAAAAAATACACACATTTAATTTGCTCCTTGCAGTTCTCTGATAAAATTCTTCCTGCGTCAAGTTATCTTAACCCATATGATTCCTCGGTCCTAACTGACACATGTCTTGTCAATACTATATTATAAAGGGAAAGTTGCACCATAACTTAATTCCTATTTTGAGAAACCAACTTTTAAAATCGTCATTATGAAAAACTCAACTTGCACCTAATTCTTATTTTGGAAAACCAACTTGCACATGATTTCCTATTTTGGGGAATCAACTTGCACTTGATTCCTATTTTGGGGAATCAAATTGCAAAATAATTATAGAAAAATAACAAAAATTCGTTTTTTTTTAATTAATGCAATAAAATCTATTTTTCATTTCAAATCTCGTTTTTTTAATTCATATATCAAATTGAACTTTTTAAAAAAAATCCAAATTACCACAATAAAAATTGTTTTTTACTAATGCAAAAAAAATCAATTTAATAGAAAAAAAATTAATTGATGCAATTGGTTAGATATAAAAATCTTGAAGGTGATATTTAATATTTATTTTTTATTGCATCAATTAATTTTCCAAGTGGGGTTTGAAATGAGTGATCCTGCGATTGGTATGTTCCAAGTGGGGTTTGAAACGATTGATATTAAGTTTCCTATGAATGATATGGAGTGTTATGAGTTGTCTCATTACTTTGGGGAATGAGTGGAAATATGTTTTGGCTGGAACATGGATCAGATTGGTTTGGCAGATATGAGTGGAAGTATATATTATGGTTGCTCAGGCCCATACACAGTGGTTGGAACAATCTATTGGTTTGAGTTAGATTGATAAATTGGGACACCACGATCGCAAACATACAATCTTTAAGGCTTGTGGCGAGATATCAACACCAGTAGCCAAGAATTGTCTCGTGTCATCGGTGTCAAATAACTCGACAACCGAACCAGATGATAGAGATTTATATGTTACTTAAAACGATTTTCAAAATCAGGCAAATTTAATTTCTAGCTAAATAATTGACCAAAGCTGGTAATGTTAAGTGTATCAGCAACAATACAACAGCTATTTGCGTTTCTGGAACATAATCTACCACGTCGTTGACTAACTGTCTCGAACCTCCACCAAAAACACGTATTCTAATTTTCTCAATCACAAACATTGATCCTTGAAAGTTTACAAAAGATAAATTTTTTCTCAATATCGGGGATATATATAGTGTTTTTTTGAAATATTGGTGTTATGTTGGTAGTATGAAATTTGAAATGTTTATACAGTGGGGTTGAGAAGAAAAAAAACAAATTTGAACATTGTTTTGTATTAGAAATGAGGAAAGTGAATAATATGTATTGGGAAGGAGGAAAAAAATTAAATTCTTAAAATAAAAATTAAATTTAAAAAAATAAATAAAATTGGATCTTTAATTTTTTGTTTAATAAAAAAATATTAGATTTCTAAAAAATTCTAAAATAAAATTAAATTCAATTTAAAAAAATCAGAGAAAAAAAGTTTTTTTTTGAAAGGCAAAAAGGAAGGACAAAGGAGAGAGCTTCGGCATGGCCATCACCTTCACCAAGCCAACCAAAAGATTAAAAGCAAATCCAATAAGAAGCTAGACACAAGCAGATACAAGAGTCCAATACAACGAAAAGAAAATAAGGAAACAAGACCAAAAAATGTCCCCAAAACGAGGCCCAAACCAAAAAACAAACAAACCAAAGACAAACCAAGAGACTAAACAAGGTAAGGAGAAGAGGTCTAACTATCCCAATTGATAATGAATTTACGATTCCTAGTCCCCATCCATAGCTTGGATAAATTTTGAACCCAAGGAAATGGGTCTTCACCTTTCTTCTTAATTTTCGCGTCATCCTCAGCATGAAAAATTTCATTCCGCCACTTCCATAGTTGCCAAAGTGCCACAGCGCAAACAGATAAGAACATTGCTCCAACCTTTCGATGATTGCCTACTTGCTTGATTAGAAATTTGAAATCAGACACCGATAATAAACGCAGGGCTTTAAGATCCCACCAAGCCCATGTTTTCCTCCAAAGAGTGTTTGTCGCCGAACAAGAGAAGAAACAATGATCCATTGTTTCTACACCTTTACCACAAAGAATGCACTCCAAGGATTGTAACGAAATACCCCTTTTTGAAAGATTAAATTTTACCGGGATAGCCTCTTTAAGGAATCGCCAAATGAAAATGTTTACTTTTTTTGGAATTAGAGGGCTCCAAAAGCATGTATCATTGCTTTCAGCGCTTGTATTGGCCTTCCCTTGAATTAACTTTGACAAGAAATTGACCGAGAAAATTCCCGTCTTGTCCCAATTCCAAGACCACACATCCTCACTTGAAGTATTGAACGCCATTTGAGAGAGATGCCTTTCTAAGGCTTGAAGATCATCTAATCTTCTGCCCCTAATCATAGATCTCCAATCCCAAGTACCACTCCAAGAATCATTAAAAAACATCCATCTTTCTTTGAAAGAAACATTTTTATTTCTTTCCAAAGCATAAAGTCTAGGATAAAGGTCTTTCAACATTGAGCCATGACCGATGCTAGCATCCTTCCAAAAAGAAGAAGAAGAATCTTTAGCAACCTTTTTTGAAAACGATTGAATAACGTTTTGACCAGCAACTTCCACATTCTTGCACGTGTTGACAATCGAAACCCAAACATTATTACCAACCAAAGGTCTATTAGAAAAGAGACCACTGTCCTCACTATAAAATTCAGAAATGACATCCTTCCATAACACATTAGAACTAGACAGGAATCTCCAAACCCATTTTGCTAACAAAGCATGATTTTTAGCTATTAAACTAAAAATTCCCAAACTACCATTAGACTTAGAGCTTAAAATTTTCTCCCAAGCAACCCAATGTAATTTTCTTTTTTCCTCCTCCTTAAATCCCCAAAAAAATCTTCTTCTTATAGCTTCCAAAGATTTTAAAACAGAGTTGGGTGCTTTGAAAAGAGAAAAGTAGAACAACGGGAGAGAAGATAACACCGATTGGACCAGAGTAAATCTTCCACCTATGGAGAGGCAATGAGACTTCCAAATTGAGAGTTTTTAAGAAATTTTTATCTTCCACGACAGACCAAGAGGCTTTTTTCTTCATGTTACCACCAACAGGAAGCCCCAGATAAATGAGAGGAAAGGAGGAGACCTAACACTTTAACATGGCAGCCATGCTGTTAACCTCCGCTTCCGAAACTCCAATACCAAAGAGATTGCATTTAGATAAATTTATGCGCAGACCTGAAACATCATGAAAGCAATTAAGAATATTAGTAAGAGTTACTAAATTCTTACGAGACCACTTTCCAAAAATTAGAGCGTCGTCCGCAAATTGAAGAAGTGAAAGATTCTGATTAGACTTCGCAAGCCTAATGCCCTTGAACAGCCCCTGATCACAAGCAGTCTTGATCATGATATGTAAGACTTCCCCCACAAGCAAAAAAAGAAACGGAGAAAGAGGATCTCCTTGTCTTAGACCCCTTTTCATGTAAAACTCATCAGAAGGCGTTCTGTTTATCAAAATCGAAGTGGAGGCAGATTTTACACAACTACTCATCCAATTAATCCATTTCTCCCCAAAACCCATTTGCTGCATGGTGTGAAAGAGAAAATTCCAGTTTACCGAATCATAAGCCTTTTCAAAATCCACTTTAAAAAGAAACATTTTCATCTTCTTCTTTTTGACGTGATTCACAATTTCATTTGCTATTAAACACCCATCCAATAATTGCCTTCCCGTGATGTAGGCAAATTGATTGCCACTGACGAGTTTGTTCATAACCTTCGCCAATCTATTAACCAACAGCTTTGCAATAATTTTATACATGCAACCAAGTAAACTGATGGGCCTAAAGTCCGAGATGTCCAAGGGATCAATTTTTTTAGGAATCAAAGCAATGAAAGCAGCATTACATCCCCTGGAAATCCTGCCCGATTTTTCGAAGAACGTAACCGCATCAACTATAGACCCGCCAATAACTGACCAGAACTTCTTAATAAAATTGAAATTTAAGCCATCAGGCCCCAGAGCTTTCGACCCATTACAAGCCCAAACAACCTCCTTTATTTCCAAAGCAGAAAAAGGCGATTCCAAAAAAGCGACATCATTGGACGATAATTTAGAGAAAAGAGGACTGAAAAACTTGAGCTTAAAGGAGCAAGGTTCTTTGAATCTATTTGCAAAGTGCTGAAAGAAAGCATCTTTGACAACCAAATGATCAGAGTTCCAAATCCCGTTACAGAGAATTCCTTTAATTTTATTCCTTTTCCAACGTTGATTAACAACCATATGAAAAAACTTGGTATTTTTATCTCCTTCTAAAGCCCACTTAGACCGTGATTTTTGATTGAGATCCGACGTTTCACGATTTTCCAAAAGCATCGGTTCGAAAATCCAATCATCTCTCTTTTGGCAATCGGCTATAGAAATTCCCCCCTCTTCAGCTTTAGAATCCCAATCAACCAAATCTTTAAAAATCTCATCCTTTCTTTTTGATTCATTGGCTAAAAAAAATTTGACCATATTCTTAAGTCATTCTTTAGAGCTTTAACTTTTTCCTTAAAGATAAAATCAGCAACCCCATGGAAAAAGCTTGAAGACCAAGACGAAAGAACCGCACTTTGAAAATCATCGATACCCAACCAAGAGTCAAAAACTCTAAATGGTTTGGGCCCCATAATAAAGTCATTAACATTCAGAAGAATGGGGCAGTGATCAGAAATAGATCTATATAAGACCTGTACGAAAGGATCTTTCCAAATAGAGAAAAAGTTAGAAGTTACCAGAAAACGATCGAGCTTGCTCAACTTGGAACCATCTTTGCTGAATCGGGTGAAGCGTCTACCACAAAAACTGATGTCAAGAAGCCCAGAAGATGAAATAAAATTATTAAAGTCCAAAGCCTCTTTAGAGTCGAAAATAGATCTCATTCTTTCTTTAGGATGTCGAACTGCATTGAAATCCCCCAAAATTACCCAGATAACGTCCGGAGCACTTTGAATTACCGAGCTAAGATCCTCCCAGACTCTTGCCTTTAGCGACTGAGCCTGAGGATTATAGACATTTATCATACCCACTTTTTTGTCCACATTATGCCATGAACCAACCACCCCACAGAAGTGATCACCCTTGAAATCTGACTCTTTACATAAAATACTTACATCCCAGGATAAAAGAATGCCCCCGGAATGACCAATAGCACTCACAAAGACATAGTCACAGCTCCTGCAACCCCAAATTGACGCAACCCATGCATTAGAAAACCCGTCACATTTCGTCTCCTGTAAACCCAACACAGAACACTTCTCCTTTTGCATAAGCTCCTTTATACCACCAGACTTTCCAATGGCTTTTAGGCCACAGCAATTTAAGGATAGAATCTTCATTAAAAAGACAAAATTCCCCCAAAAATTCAGAAACCACAGCAAATCAGCGCAAAGAAACGCCTTGCCTTCTGCTTTCAGCTCCCATTGCATTCTCCTCATTATAATTAACTCCGATAGCGTTTCCGATCGCCTCCTTTGAATCCGCCACAACATCAACAGAAATAGGCTGAGAGCTATAGGAAGATGAAGATCTACAATTGCCACAAAATTCAAGTCCATAAACAACTTTTTTATTAGAATGGGCCTGATATTGACGGGCTTCCGAAGGGGTCTTATGCTTTGGGGTTCCACCCGAACCCGGGTTTTGATTATCGATCAAAACGTTCTCGGAATCAAAAGGAACGGATTTCCCAGAAGATTTATCATCATCCCATGAACGCTTTTTGAACCCTTCAACCAAATTATCTGAGAATTTCGGTGATGCAAAAACATCAGAAAAATAATTTGATACACCGCCACTTGAACCAACATCATCCTCACTCTCTGAAAAAAAAACCCAGAACGAACATCATTTGAAGGCGGCAATAAGATTATGCGATTATGATCCTCAAAAACCTTCACAAAACACAATTTTTTACCAACTTTCACCTTCACCAACGAATTCAAGCAGTCCATACCAGTAGCTAACAGGACACCCAAAGAGCAAACCATGTCATTATCGAAAGAAGGCTTATCGATTTCAAGAATCTCCCCGAAGGACTCAGCTATTTTTCTAAAATTTGCGTCACACCATGCTTCTAAAGGTAAACCTTGGATATCAATCCACGTTAATCTCTCCTGAAAAATAAGTTTCTCATTCCACATTTTAATATCCTGGACCCAGTGATTTAACATGTCTATATTTTCGACTAAACTTTTCTCAGCCACCTCTTTAGAGCTCCATTCACAAAGAACAAAAAGACCTCCCATATATTGCAGTTTGCACTCACCCATGCCATCTTCGTGCAGAATATTCTTTAAGTTTCTAAGCAAATCAATGCTCTTAACTCTTCCCACCCAACTCTTACACAGTCTACCCACGTATTCCGAGTTAATTTCAGCTTTGATAATTTTTTCGTCACCTATCAAAGGCGTCTCACCAAGAACAGCCTGCTTGAAGGACCTGCCATCAACACCTCCTGACTTAAAGAACGCATTATACTTAAGAGTCGGGTTCCAAGCCTCCTTTCTATTGTCCATCTTATTCTTCACTTTCAAATTTTCCCCCAAGTTTAGCTTATTTTTCTCACGACCATACTTCTCCAGATTTACGATCATCCTCACCGAACCTATAGTAATATTCCTAAGCTTCCGTTCCAAAGCTTTCTCATCACCATCATGAACAAATCTCACAAACCCAAATCTTGTTCCTTTGCTCGTTTTCTTTCTAGCTAAATATAAAGACGTCATCCTACCATATCTTAAGAACATTTTCTCCAATGCAACCTCATTCCAAGTTTCAGGAAATCTAGTGAAGAAAAAATTCGAGACCTTACCTCGATGTTTACCCTTTCTGTTTACCATCTGCCAACCATCTGATTCTGCCATATCTTTCTTCCCTGCCGTCGCTAAAGCCAATTAGAGCCGATGTCACACTAGGTCTTGCCGGATATTCGCCGGGAACCTGCTGCCTCTTCACACCTACTACGTCTGCCGCCTCTTCACGCCGGGAGGGCTACTGCTTCAACCGACTCTTCACGTCTCTGCACTGAAGATCTAATTAAACTTGAGTAGGGGATGGCGGAGGCTTCAGATCTGCTCGGTGGTGGGTTTGCTCGCCGTAAAATCTGGAGGGGCAAAACACTTCGCCTTCACTTCGCTGCTACCGACGAATCCCTGCCGCCGCCGTACTCCTCCGCCTTCGTCAATTTCTAAATAAATTAAATTTTAAAAAATAAACTTTTTAGAAAAATTAAACTTTTCTAAAAAAGAAACTTTTCTTAAAAAATTAAATTTAGAAAAAATCGGATCTTTAATTTTTTTAAGAATTTTCTTATAAAATTATTAAATTTCTAACAAAGTTAAAATTCGAAAATAAAATTAAATTCATTTTTAAAAATTTAATTTTTTTAAAAATTTAATTTTTTTAAAAAAATTCGGATGGTTAAATTTTTAAGGGAAAATAAATATTTTAAAAAAAAATTTAAAAACAAATTTATATTTAAAAAATAAAAATAAAACTCAAATTATGTAGGCACTTACACACCAATGGTGGGGTGCGTAAAGGTAAGGGTGGGACCCACCTGTTATTTTTTATTATTTTTTTGTAATAGGAAATAATCACTTTTTTTAATTGCAAAAAAGCCTCTGTAAGCACCAACGATGTTTAGTGAGTAATTCACGACTATTTTATGATAAAAAAATAGGGTTAAAAATAAAATATCAAAAAAATGGATGGTTATTTTGGTCATGATCCCCCGATTTTCGCTTTCCCCCGATTTAAAAACAAATATTTTCGACCAAGTTTTGTTGAAGATTTCTGATCTTGTTTGCAATATGCATGCGTTTTATGATGCTCCGTCGTATATTTATCATTCGACCCACCGTCGACCATCACCGCCGCCGCTGTTATGTATCCAATTTTTCTTTCTCTTCCTCTCCTTCTGCTAGTAGCCATGAAAATTCCATCATTCTCAACAAAAACCTCCAGGACTTCCAAAATGCAGGTCGGCTTCCTGTCCTCAACCGCCTCCGCCCTAATTCCCTCTCTCGCTTTGCTATCGCCGCGAGCTTCATATCCGCAGCCGTTGCCGCCTCTTACGTGATTTTTCTTGATGATGATGAATTTAAGGAAAAGCAACAAAAGGAGAAGCGTGGGTTTGGAGATTTCACGATTGACCGTTCGAACGAGTCGTTGAGGAGAATTTTGGACACAATGAAGCATACAGGCATTGCCGTTTCCGTTCTTTTGAAGTCGCTGAGTTCTGTTTTATCTTCGGCCAACCATGAAGTTCGGTCAGGGTTTGAGGGTAGGGTTGCGTCATTGTTGGCGGATATTGTGGCTGCGGACGAGACCCGGAGGGCTGCGATCGTAGGTGCTGGTGGCGGCATGGTGTTGGATTGGTTGTTGGATTCGGTGGCCTTGAATAGAGGGGGAAATTATGGGACTCAGGCGGAATCGGCTAGGGCTTTGGCTTACTTGATTGCTGACTCTAATGTGTCTGAGGCTGTTCTCGGAAGGCCTCATGCCATCCCCAATCTTCTCAAGTTCATTTTCTCTGCTCAACCTCATCCTTGGGAACAGGTATTTTTGGCTGAACAAAATTTATGTAGCTCTGTGTTGTTTATAATTCAGATTGCATTCCGAAGAATGTGTTTATATGTGTAGCATGTACTCTTAAGTGAATGTTTTAGACATAAGTCTATAACTCCATCCGAGTCCCACAAGGAATACATATCCTTCCTTTATCGTGTCATGAAATGATAAAATGCAGCCCTTGCCATGATAAAGATTCAAATCTCAAATGTGATTGGTGTTGAAACTAAGGGTGGAGAATGTTGTAAAATAGTTGTATACATATACACACAAAATCTTTCATTGACATTGACATTGACATGCTTCTTTTCCATGTAAGCAGCAAAAAAGGCCTAGTTCGTTCGGTATTGCTGATCCTTTGAAAGGCAGGAGCATGCTTATTGCAGCAATCATGGATATTGTCACTTCCAATTGTGACAATGTGGCTAAGGTCAAGCATAAACCTATGTTATCTGGAAAAGCTGCAATGAGAGATATTGCAGCTGCACTCCAGGTTGTTGAAGAAGGTGGCATGTACTTGGATGAACGACCAGGTAGTGAAGATGATGGAGATGATGGAACAGGATTGAAGGGCATTGGAATTAAAGTTCTTGGAGGCACTACAATAGTGGGCCTTTCTAGGAGGAATGGGTCGATGGAGCAATCTGATTCCTCTCCCTCAGCAAAAGTAAAATCTACTCCTAAAACTAAAACAATATTGTTTAACAAAATAAGTGATAATTCTGCAGCCCGCAAAAGTTTGTCATTAACTGTTATTCCGGGTCTATGGGATGATTTGCATTCTCAACATGTTGCTGTTCCTTTTGCTGCATGGGCTTTAGCAAACTGGGCAATGGCCTCAGATGTGAATAGATCCCATATCCAAGAACTGGATCACGATGGGAATGCTATCATGAATGCTTTGGTTGCTCCAGAGAGATCTGTGAAATGGCATGGGAGTTTAGTGGCTAGGTTATTGTTAGAAGACCAAAATCTGCCTTCCGATGATTTTGTTCCCGATTGGGGTTCCAGTCTTCTTTCTACTGTGTCCCAAGCGAGCAGAAGTGATGACATTCCTTTGACTCAAGTGGCTTTGTCTGCCTTCCTGTTATCAATTGAGAGATGTCCTGGGGCTCAAAAGGCAGTTATGGAGAAGAATCTTTATCTAATGAGGGAAACTGCTAAAAGAATGAAGAATCACGAGTCTGTGCAAGAAGCATTAGCAAAAGGTCTAGAATTACTATGTACACAGAACATGCATTTGTCTCTGGAGGAAGGAGAAAAGTGGTCGAGCATTCTGCTTCAGTGGGTATTTGGTGATACTTCTCTTGATGCTACCAGATCTTCTGCTATAAAAATTCTTTCTCATATTCTTGAAGACTATGCACCATCTTCCATACCAATTTCTCAAGGTTGGTTAGCTATATTGCTGACTGACATTCTGAAATATAAGATGTCATCGCTTAAAGGGAGTGCTCAGCCTAGGGACAAAGTGAAGGTTTGTAGCTTCATTATTGATTTTAAATGTATTCAGCTTTAGCCTACACATGCCACAACAATTTACTACCTATGCATACATTACATTGATTATTTGTTTGTAGTAATTGATGAGTTTCCTGATTCTTGTAGACTCAAATCGACCAGGCAAATGTTATATCTGGCACACTGGCTGCTAACCAATTAGCTAGTGCTGTGGTTAGTTTAGCAGTTAATCAGCTGGGAACAGAGTTTGGTAATGGTGATTCATCTGCTTTCGAGGATCTTCTGTGTGTTGAGCCTTTTGTTGTACCATTTAAAAATCTGAAGAAAGACGGTGTGCCCAAAGTCAATGCTGCAGATTCCGCACTTGCAACTCTTAAGGGGATCAAAACTATGTCTGAAATTTGTAGTGATGACTCGTTTTGTCAAACCAGAATAATTGATTATGGTGTAATTTCGTTACTACGCCGCCTCTTATTGAGAGATGATTATGAGAAATTAGCAGCAACTGAAGCATACAATGCATCAACAGATTTGGAATCCGGGGATCAATCTGCAAATGTTCCAGATGCTCGTGACCGTGTTCCGCCTGTAGCCCACATCCGCAGGCATGCCGCTAGATTTTTAGCCGTACTATCAGTCCATCCAAAAGTTAAAAAAATGATATTAAATGATAAAGTTTGGTGTGAGTGGCTTGAGGAATGTGCAAATGGGAAAGTTTCTGGATGCAATGACCTCAAGACTCAAAGCTATGCTAGAGCAACATTGTTAAATATTTTTTGCAATGATGATGATGATGCCAGAGATACTGTAAATAGTAGTGTTTCATATAAAAAGCATAGGTGCCGTCATTTTACTGAGATGATCTATTTAATTAACCCGAACCTGCCTCACTGGAAATATCCTGTAAAAGAAAGGCGGGATTCTGCTGTGGGGACATCAATGGAGAAAGAAAAGCCAATTAATCCATTTTCAGAAATCGATGAGGATGATCTTGATGGTGATAGTAGCCCCTTAACAAAAGATCCAGTTGATAATACGAACAGTAGATCAGTGAGTCACTTGGATCCTTCACTTGACGTTGTCTTTGTCCATGGTCTGCGCGGTGGACCATTCAAGTCTTGGCGATTTTCTGAGTGCAAGTCTTCATCGAAGTCTGGACTTGTAGAGAAGATTGACGAAGAGGCAGGAAAGCAAGGCACTTTTTGGCCTGCAGAATGGCTTTCATCTGATTTCCCCCATGCCCGTTTGTTTAGCATAAAGTACAAGGTTTGTGATCACGGTGGCGGGTAGAAAATGTGTGCTACCTCTTATGATTATAACTGTCTTTTTTTTATGATATTGTTGCAGACAAATCTTACACAGTGGTCTGGAGCAAGTTTGCCCCTTCAGGTTTGTGTTGTCACATGTGAAGTCTTTGGAAAATAAGAGATGTTCATGTTTGCATTACAAAAGCTAAATATGTGATAGTAGCATGCTTATAAGGACCATTAATTTCCCAAGGAAACAAGAGACGTTGCTTGGGTTTCAAAACATAAACTTTAATCCTTCTGCATGGTGTCATAAATTTTTTAATAATCTATAAACATGCCACACTGATGTCGATTCCAAGATCCTTTTCTTTTGAGTGTAGATACAGTTAATAATGATAAATGTGTAAATTTGGTTCCTGGATATACAAGCCTGAACTAGATGTATACATAAGTCTTGTCGCACATTTCACATTAACAGGGTCCTATAGCTTGTTTATTTTGTTCCGGGATTATCTGTCATGGTTCAGAAACTCTTCTTTGGATGTATGAACATGGATGGGGTTTAGTGCACTGATATGTTTGCATGCTAGGGACTGTATGGGGTCGTATTGATTCTTTCTCGTTGATGAATGCAATTGCTTTTAGCAGTTACCACCTATTTGTAATGAGTTATATCATTTGAAAATAAATGTGTTTGAAATATATGGTTGATGGCAGTTTGAAATTGATTACATTGTAGATTGTTTGGTTGCAGCATTAGACTTCTCTTCCATGTCACATGTCCACATGGATAATCTATAATCTGTAGCTAGTTGATTGTGAATCGAGCCCTCTTCTACTGCTACTTGTGGTTTTGGTGTGATTTCTTTAACAATTTGACCTTTTTATTTACCATCTGAAATCTTGATGATATGATCAGCATGATTGAGCAACATGGTATGTATAACTCGTCTTCTTCACATGGATAGTTCTTGTACCTGCAGTGAGTTGCATGTGTACATCCCTTCTCCAAGAGGACAACCGTGTTGAGACCAAATATCTCACATAAGGAAATAAGAATCTGTCAACCAATTTAATAACATGACAGACAATCTACATGGAAAGGAATTCTTTCTTTTATTAGTTATGGCATTAGAGCAGGTTAGTTGATACATGCAGGGCTCAGTGACCCACATGACAATTTCTCATCACTATATATATACACACACTAATTCTTAAGCCACACATGAATGAATATGACGGGACCTTGGATCCTTATTAGGTTAATAAAGTTATGCCATCAATGTGAAAGATCCCATTACAACATACTCTAACCAGTTTATTGTGAAATGGAATCATATCGGAAGTTGTATATGACATTCAGTTGACATACTGGCTTAGATGAGTTGGTCATTCTGTACTTTACTGCCTATGTTACCTGAGTGCTACTTAACTTCGAACTTTGGCATTTGGCTTGGTGCAGGAAGTCAGCTCCATGCTATTGGAAAAGCTAATTGCTGCAGGCATCGGAGATCGACCGGTTGTATTTGTCACTCACAGGTCCGTTGATGGTGGCTTTTTACCATTGCATGCTCTGTCACTTGGTTGGTAGAAGCATGGATGGCAAAAAGTCAAGTCGTGATAAAGTTTAGGTAGCAACTTTTCGTAGGTCCAGTTGATGCTCTAGGTTCCACATTCTGTTGGTAGGAGATAAATCCATAACTAATCTGTAGAACAGCTAACAGAATTCAATTACCAGATTAATGGGTTCTATAGGCAACAACCCTCCCCCAAGCATGCTAAGAACGGAAAGCAAAGGAAATAGGAGCATAATTTCTGACTTTTCACTTCCCCATGGTTCAATTAGTTATTTTGCTAATCTAGAACTAGTTCATGATAATGCATCAATTTTTGCAGCATGGGGGGTTTGGTTGTTAAGCAGATGCTGCACCAGGCTAGGATGGAAAATAGAGACAATCTTGTCAATAACACTGCTGGTGTGGTATGTTCAGTTATAGAATATTTGTCAGCATTGCATCTATAACAGAGACATTCTAAATCCCCCCCCCCCACTGGTTTAGGTGTTCTATAGCTGTCCACACTTTGGTAGCAAGCTTGCAGATTTGCCTTGGCGAATGGGTTTTGTTCTACGCCCGGCACCATCGGTTAGTACTTTGCTATTATGTTGTACACTAATCATCATAGTTCTAAAGTTCCCTTCTCTGGAAATTTGGAGCTATTGAATTCCATTCCTGGAAAAGTTGCAGCCAATTTGTCTTGTTCTAACATTGAACGTAGAAAACCTTCTGTTCAATGATGGGCTACATGCAACTTCGTTCTTTTCTTTCAGATAGGAGAGTTGAGACGTGGATCTCCAAGATTAGTGGAGCTTAATGATTTTATTCGTCGCCTACACAAGAGAGGGTCTCTTGATGTTCTCAGTTTTTGCGAGGTAGTACCATAAGTTCCATCACTTCATTTGGTCTGTGAACTTGCAATGCATGTTGTTTTGGGAGCTTAATTGGCTTAATATATGTCTTTTCAGACTAAAGTAACTCCAATCGTTGAAGGCTATGGGGGTTGGGCCTTCAGACTAGAAATCGTTCCAATTGAATCATCATATCCTGGATATGGGAAACTTGTGGTAAGCTCTCAATCATAAAAAGTTGCTTACAGCTTTATCGGTTTTCCTTCTTAGTGGTATCCAGGTTACCAACAAGGGTTTAAGCCTCACCAAAAGCGAGGAGTGTGTGAGTTTTGTGTAACTACATTGTCATGGGTTCGAGCATGACATTTAGAAACATAACTGTTCTGTGTGTAATCTAGAATATTCTGGCTGATTTTGAGTCCTTTATTTGTGACAGGTTTTAGAGTCGACGGATCACGTAAATTCATGCAAACCCATAAGCAAAAGTGATCCTTCTTACAATGAAACTCTACAACTTTTGCACAAACTTAGAGCACGCGTGGATGAAAATACATATTCAAGATGTACATAATTAACAACAGTCCCTGCTAGATGTACAGATATACATAGCCATTAGCCATTAGCCATTAGCCATTAGCCAGCCATATATAAAGAGTAGCAATCATGGTCTGCTGCCAGACTTGTATGAGCCCAAGATTCTGGGCATTGTATACAACAGCAACACGATGGAGACTAGTAGCAGGTTCAGACTTGAATTGGCATTGTCTTGAGGATAGATATAGCATCAAGATTACATTTTTACCCTTGCCACAGTCTATTTTCTGGTGGGCATTTGGGTAAACAGTTGTGCCCTTTCTGTGTATTTTTTAAGGAAAGGCTCTGCTGTTGGGGATGTTACCCTCTTCTTGAAAGAGAGATTCTGTATATTAGAGATACTTTCTTGTATATATCAATTGAATTTATAAACAGGTCCTATAAAATTTAACTTTTTTTAAACAGATAATTTTTATTACGTTTTTAAGACGTGATTATTAAGTAAGGTTCTTGGATAACGACTAGTTTCAACTTTCATGTGATAAGTTTTCTAATGATTTTGTAAACGTAACATGTTTTATAGCGTTTAATTAAGTCGTTTTTAAGATATACGTATTTGTATTCAATGACTAGATTTATAATCCGAGACATAGCAAGCTTTTGGTAACAATAAGCTTTTTTGGCTTATTCCAAGAAATGATCAAATAATCAAACAAAATATGTCATTCTAATTTTATCAGATTCTTTTGAATTCTACGAACTAAACGAACCAACTGATAATTTTATTTAATATAAGTAAAAATAAAAGGATGGTAAGTTTTATGCTCCATCATGAATTGTACAATACATAATTTATGGGTTATAAAATAACTAACATGTATCACATAATATTAAAAAGGCCACCATATTTTCAGTTTTGTTTTTAAGAATCACCGGTACTGGTTCTTTCGATCTTTCCAACTTTATCGGATATACATGTAGGCAAATGATCGTGTGAGAAGGAGAGTTAAGGTGAGAAGCATAAGAAGAGATCAAGACCCTTGATCCCCTTTAATCTCAAACTCAATCATGAATAGCGCTTGATACGGATCTTGATCTGATGCATCTCGTCCTAATATGCATCCAAATGTGGAGGTCTCTTCTTATGCTTTTCACCTTAACTTTTCTTCTCACCAGAACTCAACCCTATACATACATACATACATGTAAGATATTTTATGTACTATTTGTTTAATCTATGTGACAATAGGTGAAGTATAGTGTGAGAAGTAGAATTAAGGTGAGAAGCGTAAGAAGGTATCTGAACCCTCGATTACCTTTAATTTCAAATTCACCCATGAATCGCGCTTAATACATGGATTGTCCGGTGCATCTCAATGTATCTCATACTAATGTGCATTAAATGGTGGATCATTTCTTACGTTTCTCATACTTACAGGTCCTAAGACGACTTACCATCAAAAAAATAAAACCTAGGATTGAACTCGAGTAATGGGCGAGGAGGTCACAAGCATCTGCATATAATTTTTCGCTTCTAATCCTTTCATGTCGTTTTATAGTCAATACCGTTGTAACGAGGCTACAACCATGATCTTGGCCAAGATGGGCACAAGCACATTCTTTTAGTAATGGATTCTTTTTTAATTACAGTAAACGAAAAGAATTTCAATGTTAAATAGATTTCGTCTCCTTTTTACTATATTATTACACCTTTACATAGCTAGCACAATTATTTGGTCTTATAAACATAAGTCATATAAAGCAGGTTTATTAAGACGTTTATAAAGCAGATTTTGTTGTAAATACAAGTTCTGTTTTTTTTATTAACCTGAATATTCAACCCGCTATGCGAGCCGACTAATCCCAGGGCGACCACCTGCTTTACAGATATCCCGGATTCACCACATTTGAACCTCCGAGGCCACAAGGGGATTTTTATTTCTCCTTGGATTTGAACATAAGACCTCCTGGTACTTTTGACTTTTGGAGTCAAGCTCAAACCAATCAGGCACTACCCTTGTGGTTAAATACGAGTTTTGTTTGAAATAGAGATCAAAGAAGAAATTTTGATGGGGCTTTCATATGGAGTGGAATACAGGGAGGAATGCTGTTGCAATCCAGTGAGATTGTTCATGCTCGCGAGTCGCGTCTACACTGAGATCTGGGAGCAGTTTGTTCGAGTCGTTACCCAACAATCACACAAACGTAACATCAAATAGATAAATTTTCTCAGTTAAACAACGCAGGAGCAACATATCAACGATACTTGAAACCATGGATGCACTTTACAATCTTGATTAGTTCACAAGTGCTTCCAAGAATGAATGCAAAGCTGCTGTTGGGTCAAATGGATGCTAAACCAGGTAAAGCCTATTTTGAGAAAAACCTGTTTATTTTTTTGAAAAACTACTTCAAGTAGCAGTAGCGTTCCAATAAGTTTTAGGGTTTTTCTTCCTTCCACTTTTTCCCAATTATGCCCCGTGTATTTTATATAAATGACCAAAAACCTTAGTTTTTTAGGTCATTTTACATTGTCATTTCGTTTATCAACTAGTTTTTATCAAAAGTAACTAGCTTATTAGCTTGACCGCTAGTTTGCCAAACATAGCCTTTTATGTTCAAGAAGACGCCATTTCTGATGAGACATTAAAATTCATGATGTATCTGCAGGGACTAATGGCGAATCACAAAGAAATAGCCGCGTACCTCAACAAGAAAGGCGTATCTATCATCCTTCTCCTGAGAAGAGACCAATTGCGTCCCATGATATCAGTGCTTGCGAACTCTCGTGACAAGAATATGAAGCTGTTAAAGGGTATTCATCAATCTCATGTGCATTCATCACAAGAGAACAACATACTCTCTGCAAAGATGGCAACAATTTGTTACAGAAACTATCATCTCTCTCTCTCATTCATGGAGGTTGCTTGAGTTTCTCTTGCAGGCTAAAATACTAGCAGCCTACAAACCTAACATCAATGCTACACAAATCCTTCCCACTTTGATGGAAAAAACCGTGGCTTTTCAATACTTCAACAACACTCGACATATGATCATCTACTACGAAGATATCATCACCAATCATACGGTAAAGTTTTGATATTTCTAAATCTTTTCCTTCAAGAAATGAAATGGAAAAGTAGTTGAATTTTCTGCATCTACCATACAAAGAACTGTCGAGTCGCCAGATCAATTCAAGATTCACACAACCCTCTTCTTGAAACAGATTGAGAATTGGGATGAAATCCAGAAAGCTCTCAATGGTACTTCATTTGAGCACTTCCTACATGCAGACTATTAGTTGCATAGAAAATATGACCAATAGGGGAAGAAACTTATACCAGTAGTCAACAGTTTGGCTAGCTCTAGACTATTTTCTTCCAATTAGATACGAAATATTTACACAAATATTTACCTTGGTATTGATACAAACGAACAAATGCTACAGACCCTTTTTAACCATCTAAAAGTTGTACCATTTTAGCCGGTATATAGAACAAGTAAGTGGAATAACAACCATAACTTTACATTCCCCTCTTTTCTCCAAAAGCTTTCTATGTATTTTCTTTTCTATTCTTTAACTGGGGATACACTTCCTGATGATTCTATGCTAAGCTAGTTTTAAGTAAAGAGAGATACCTCATCGGTGAGAAACAGAACCATTTCCTACTACTAATTCTGATTTGTCTGTTTGAATAACAAATTGATCAACAATTCGGACACTATTAACCGGGTCCTGATGAAAAGAATTTGCCCTCCATTTACTTGGATATTTTCTGTGGTGACTCAACTGATGTGGCTGTTTTAGTTCATTATCCCAATCCAAATCCAGCTTCCATTCCTTTGGAACCTGCACATCAAATTGCAGAAACATTATTCAAGCAAAAAATAAACGAAAAAGAAGAAAATTGGTGTTAAAAATCCTCACTTTATCGACTGCAAGAGTGAAAACTTCAAGATTTCCATTCTGTCTGATGTGAAACCGGGTGAACGACTTGTAATTGGCAATGCGTAATGAAGAAAAGGCCTCGTCAAAATGCAAGTGAAGCCAATTAATACAAATGTACAAATAGCTTCCGAATATGAGAGAAACCACGGGAGTCGAGAACACCCAGAAGTAAAGGAAAACAGAGGCATAGTATATAATTGCACCCCCTCGAGATAGGGAAACCATCCCATTCTTGCATATGTTAGTCCTGGTCACAGCCATAACCTGATATTGCAAAAGGATTGACAAAATAACAAAGAATCTTTACAGAAACAAAAACGGATTTTTAAAAATCTATCAAAATGCAACAAAGTTTCTCTTGGTTCCTATTTAATATAACAAAGAACTTTTTCTCAATCAATGTAACGAAGTTTCAAAATTTCCAACTTTATATTGACAAGTAACCTGCTGATCTTTTAACATTTGATGTCAAATTTACCATCCACATCGATTGAGAAAAAAAATCTTTGTAGGAACTAAACCAAACTCTATTACATTTTGATGTATTTTGCCCAAACAGGTTGATAGAATTCGAAAAAAGTCGAACCTCTGGGACATCAAAAGCTGACATAAGATATTTGATACATGCTGGATAAAGGCCGAAAGTCCATTGCTCCATACGCGCCCTAAGGCCAGTCGGGTCCGGAAAATGTTCACTTTCCACTGATCTGTACCACTGATATAACGTGTGATAACCTGAAACAAAATTTCGGCAATCAATAATTCCAGCATTCAGTGATACCTATGAAGTAGAAGAATGATACAGAATAAATGAATAGAACAGATTGTAATATGTCAATTGTGAAACATTTTTATTATATCAGCAATTGAAATAAAGGAAAATTATCTGCCTGATGTTGCCAAAAGGTTATGGCGGATGCAGGTTTCAACACCAAGCTCCATCAACAACATAAGAACTAAAGCTGCAGCCAAATGGGCCAAAACATGCACAACTCCGATTACTATTTTTCTTTTCCGGGACACTTTGGAAGGAACAAAGGAGATTGCAGCCACCAACAGTAACATAGCACCGACAGAAGATATGTACGATTGCCCAACCATGTACATAAAAGCATCCCACACCGTGCTAAAAAAGCTCCTTATGTGACCAGAAATTGTATCATCCTGTAGGATATGATCTAGTTTGCACTGTAAAAAGGAAAACAAAAGAATAATCAGCTTTTTGCCGGAAAAAGGAGAGCGAATTCAAAGAAGACATACCAGTGGAAACATTGAAAAGGTCAAAATGAAGTATATGAACCCGCCAATGAAATCAAACTGCCAGTTTTTCTTTCGGAACTTCAATATATTACCCAGAGCAATCTGCATTTTTCCAGCAAAAAGATTGAAAAAACAGTGAGAATCATGTGACACAATGCGTTTAGTAAGCAAGACTGGACGAGAAAGGACATACAAAAACTTGTTATCCCATGTTTGACGCAATATTAGACCCAATGGGGAAAAATGCAGTTTTTTTGTCGCACCAAAATAGGTGGAACAAAAATCAGGTAGATGGGACAAGATAGGTAAATTACTAAAATGACCATGTCAAATTAAAGCCTTGTACTACATACCCTGCTTGAATCTTGAACAGATGGATAAGCGGCTTTGTTCTCATAAGTTGTTCCATATGCTTTGTTGAAATCACTAAAGACATGTGTCGGATGTAAAAATGCTCCACCACACCCGTTGACAAGTAAATGTTGCACATTAACAGGGTTCTCTGATGAAATGTATGAATGACGCATATAATGATGCAAATCTCCGGCCATTTGAAGTTTACACCTCCCTTTCAGATAATCACATATAAGGTGTGAGACGTTCTTTCCAGTCACATCATCCCAGTACCAATCCAGAATCCAATTCGGTTCATGTGTCATAATGATCACAGAATCGTTTTCTTTAACCTAGAAAGAATTACCATACTTAAATTGGAAAACAGACATACTTGTCAACTGAAACTAGATTGGCGAACATGTACCTTTTCCAGTATCAGATCCGTGAAGAACTTAAACTGATAACTATCGATATCACAATGGAGAGCTAAATCAAGACCAAACACCCACCAGCCTTTTGGTAGCTGCAAAGCAAAGTAGCTTTTCTTTTGAGGCATTAACCATCCACCTAACCAGCTCTTGTGACAAATGTACCTCATAAAAGTTTGAAGTCCATCAAACCAGTCTGAAAAAACCAACCACCATTAACTTAGAGAACCGACACAGTATTTAAGTTTACCAAAAGAAAACAGCTAAAAAGACCCACCATGGTTTCCAGGAATAACAAAACACTGTGGCCCATCATATTGTTTTAGTTCAGACACATTACAGGGTAATTCCGGCTTGTTTACAGCTACATGCCCTTCCCTATACCATGAAGGTGGCTGAAGAGCATACTCAAAAGGACGAAAGAAACGTTTTTCATAATTGAATGCTGATGGATTAGGATACCTGAATGAAACCCAACATTATGCATCATTACTTACAAAAAAGAAAAAGTAAAAGAGAGAAAAACCAAATTCTCTATTAAGTAACTTAGATCTAGAAAGGATGGTGATCATGGGATCAAGGGAATTCTTGAGAACTCCAGGTGATTCAAGTTGTGTTGTCATCCAAGTTCAAGCAGGATAGCACATGGTGAAAATGATAAAAATGATTATACAGATTGTTGGACCCTCTCTGAGTCTGACAACTTATGTTTTAGTTTGTGACTTAGAAGAACGTCAATAATGGGGAAAGGTCACACTTACGCAAGATCGCCCCCAATAAGAAGAAGATTCCCACGATGCAATTTGATCTCAGAATCATCATTGCAAGCACGAAGTGAAGGTTGAGCAAGAAGCCGGGCAACAGAATAGGAAGAGTTCCCACCATCACCAGTATCAGCCATAAAATCAAACCAGAAGTCATCTCTTTCACTAAAATGATCATATAGAAAATCTTCTTGTTTAGCCCCTTCATGACCACCACTCATTGCCGCCTACATAATGAATCAAAACAAAAAGAATGCAGATGAGGTAAAAGAAGCTATGCTCGAGGAAAGGTGGAAAAAAAGAAAAAAAGATCTAAAACCTGCATCATGCGCATATCAAATCGTCCAACAAACACAGTTACAGATACAAGGAGGTCAAACACAGTCTTGAATAAATCAGCTGACGTCCTGCAACACAAAGTTCATCCGCATTTATAACTGACCAAAGCTTCCCATTTTTATCCCATGAACAACCCTGGCACAACCCTTTTCACCCACCACATATGTAAGCATATGGATATAGACATACATAAATATAGATATAGTCTATATATACACACATATGTAAATATATATATATATACACACAGAGAGAGACCACAGAAAAAGACGCACAAATATGTGAAGAGTGTATATACCCTGAATACCAAGGAACCATATCCAAGAAATTGGGCTTCATCTGCTTGTTCTTCAACTTCTCAGTTTCTTTGACTGAGAAAGGGTGAGTGAGAGCCCATCTGATGATAAAGACCAATAATTAGAAATCGCTGCTTGAGGGTGAGACATCAAAAGATGGCTAGTTATGTACGTATCATATTAACGTCCATGCTATCACAAGCAACCCACTTACCCCGTTGATCTTTCCACAACATAGTTAGCAATATAGAGACCAATTAGCGTTGCCCATAATGAATATATTGGAGAAATTTCATCTGATGACTCGCATGGGCCACTGCAAGAGAACTGAAGAAAAAACAGAAACCAAATGAAAGTTGAACCATAACTACATCCTCCAAATAGAGTAGAAGAAACTTAGAAGCAGAAGCCGTACCTCTCCATATATAACCCACTTTGAGAGAAGTGGATAATCACGGGCAGACCCAACTGGAGCAAACCAAGATTTGCATACTTCATCTTTGAATTCATACATTTTGAGAAATTTGGCCACCAATGTGCTCCTCTCTCCTTTTCTCCATAGTGAAAACAAGCCAGAATCTTTTCGTCCAAATGGTTTTTCATTCAAAGCATGATTGCCGCAATGGCTATAAAATACACAACAGGCCACACTTAATACCTACACGGATAGGAAGGCCATGAAAACGAGGACTAAGGATGACATATAGAACATACCTCCTGCAAATATTGTGTCCCATTAATTTGCAATGTTTGACTAGGCACATAATCGTAGGAAAGTGTACTATTTGTCAAATGTGGAAAATTCCTTTCAACATTCGATAATGATGAAAATGGCCAAATAAGCAACTATAACATGAAAAGTTCCCAAAAACAAAAATGTCGCGATTTTCAATGATTGTCTTAAAAGAGAAACCGTTGTAGCTAACCCCATCTTATGGTGGGCATATTAGGAACCTCTAAACAAAGAGCAGACATGGTCTAAATCGGATATTGAGACTTACAGCACAATTTTGAAGAATAGTCAATATCTCAGGTCTCCTTCCAGCCACACGAGAAACAAGACCAATGTACCAGAGGCCAAGGAATACTAAATGGAAAACAAGAAGAACAAAAATGGAAGAGATGAATATTGTCAAAAATAACGAAAGATTCATCCTCATATCTACTCCCATTGACTGAAAACTCGGAAGATGGTATAAAGCTGCCACTAATATCCAGGCTACATACCTACACTCCAGAAAACTCAATTAGATAAAGAAATAAAACATCAAAATAGGATCATGCTAAAGAAGGATCAGAACAAATTACCATCTACTGAAATTTGAATAGCTCGGTTTAATCGTCTTCCCCACGAATGGGGATGAAAAGAAATAGAAAATCCCAAGTAAGCAGGCGTAGATGGACCACCACTTGATGTTCTTGTCTAGCTTCTGGATGAGCGTATGCATGTTGTCAGATGAAATAAAAAATAGGCAACCCACAGCTACTGCAATGATAGCGTGGCGGGAATGCTCATGTGGGTATGGGTATGTATGGGTTAAAATTGTCCGCACTGTCTCCATGTTGATGGTATCTAGTATACCAACAGCCTGTTTATCGGTGCCCATATTCAAGATTTATCTTTAGATTCAAAGTTGATTCACAATCTTTCAATCCAATATGGTCACCAGCTCCAGAATCCTGGGGGGATTTCAGTATATTAACGTCACAAACTGAAACAACTTAAACGGTACAGAAAAAACATATGAAGAATAATAAATAGTGTTCTCACGCACTAAACAGAGAGAGATTATCATCCTAACATCATGTTGAGGCACTGTTCAATAAAGAAAGCATCTTTTGCATGGTGATTATTAAGTTGCCAAGAGTAAAAAGTGCACCATAAATACCCGAAGAAAACCCACTCTGCTAATAGAAAAAAATCCCAAAATAACAGAGAGATGACATACAGAATCCATCACAAATTCATGTTGGTTATCACACACTGTCACTTTCCAAATATGATCTACATAACTTACATGCATCTATTATTAACAAAGGCAGATAAGAGTTGAAAAGAACAGCGTTAGTTAAAATATCAAAATCATGCATTTCACAATCAAAATATTCAGAAGAAAACAAACTACTGAGAACACAAGTAAGGACAAAACTAGGGTTTAGTAAACGTATAAGCTCTTCTGAAAAATTAAATCAAAATTCCTAAACAAGGATCAAACGGTTTAAGAAACCCATTACACCATTACTACAAATCAAGCAATCGCATCAAGAAGAACACATTGAGAACAGAAATTGGGTACCTTAATGGATCAAGAAATGAAAAAGGGAAAGTGAAAACGAGCATATAGCTAGTGGGTCTGTGTATATGCTCGTTCAAAGATGATCAAAGGGGATTGTGTGCCAAGAACCGCTTTCGAATCAATGGCATATGCTTTTATTTATTCGATTTTTTAACCGCGTTCTGTAATTTTGATCGTAGGGAGGGAAAGTGGGTCGCCAAATTTTGTAGTGAAAAAGAGATTATTAAATTTATAAGCAGCCAACAAATGAGAGAAATTCAAATACGTTGTGACCATGGAAATCAAAGACTGCTTGCAGTTGCAGTGATGAACGAACAATTTTATGTAGTTTCAGTCGCGTAAATGAAACCTGCCACTGACGAGATCGATTCATGGCCGTTGGATCATCTCCAGCGACATGTGTATACAGCATGACACGTGTTTCCACTTTTCAGCTTTCGGTGAATGGTTTAACGTGTAATCATCTTTTCGTTGTTAAACCATTTGTTTCCATATAGTATAATTTTATATGGTTTTATGAAAATAATAATATTTTTATTTTTAATAAAATATAAATTTAAAAATAATATAAAAATTAAAAAAAAAAGATATTAATATTAAATTAATTATTTAATAGTTTTTATTTTTTTTAATTTTTTAAATTTAATTTATATTTAATAACAAATTAATTTATTTTTTTAACAATATATTTTTATTATAAAAATAATATTAAAAAATTCTCTTTGAAACTTTATTTTAATTATATTTAAAATGGATGTTTATCATGTATTTGATTATGTTTATCTGTGGTTAATTACACGAATTTAAAAATGTAGCTTTAATAAGTTGTACTTATGTAAAATTACTTGTAACCTTGAATTTTAAGTAATATACATCAATAAACAGTATTTTATGCATAAAAAATGATTTTTAAGAGTTTTTGTCAAATATTTTATAATATAATATAGATATATTTCCACATGTTTTTTTTCAAGTAGAAATAATATGTTATTTTGAGTTTTTGGTTTAAATAAATGTTTTTAAAAGATGTAAATTTTTATGTGTTTGCTATTTTTTTATTAACCTATATACTCAATCCGCTATACAAGTCGACTAATATTAGGATGGACCACCTGCTTCATAGGTAGCCTAGAGTCGTTGTATTTTAACCTCCGTAGCCACAAAGAGATTTTTATTCCTCTTTAAATTTGAAGTTGAAACTTTCAGACACTTTTGATCTTTGTTATTTATTATTAATGAAAAACAAATATTTACCCGTTCAAATATTTATGTCATATTATGTGTTTGATAAAAAAAAAACTTTTTATTTTTCTTAAATTAGAGAGATACCGTCTATTAACAACACCAAGCTTCATCCTGGATAGATCACCCACTAAGTAGGGCCTCTTGAATTGAATCTTAAGTAGTCTTTCAATGGTGCAAAGCTAATTGCCCCTTTTCAGCCCTTCTCCGACCCTTACTGTCCAACCTGACAGCAGACAGCTAATGCGTTCCACTATCTGTTATTTGCTTCTTCATTCTTGACTGGCAACAAGCTCTGTATGAAGCATTCGGTACTTGCTAATTCTTTTTGAATTAAAGGGGTGTTTGGGATATTTAAAACAACTTATGTTTTTTTATAAAAGTGTTTATCAACTTATGTGGTGGTAAACTGGAGTTTTATAAAAAAAAATGTTTGGATTAGCTTATGGTGGTACCTCACCGGATAAGTTGATAGAATAGATGAGATACATTTTTCTTTTCTCCTTAAAACATTAAAAACTTTTTATTACCGGTACTACACTGGAATAAATTAATAAGTTGGAATGAAGTAACTTATTAAAAACTTCTTATTACCGATGCCAAATCGGTATAAGTATTTCCTTTTTTTTTCTCCATCCAAAAACTTCTTATTATTAATATCACATCAAAATAAATTAAAAAACATTTTAAATAAGCAATCCCAAATACCCTGATCCATTCAAAAGCTTAATTATTTTGATCCAAGAGGCACTAGTAGACTACCTTTAGCGATGATTTGGTCCAATCGGATCATGGATAAGACAAAAAAAAAGACTTAAAGAAAAATGAAAAACATTTAAAAGTTAAAACAATGTCCAACAACTTTGTCACTTTATAGACCATATTGCCAAAAAATTTATTCTTTTTCAGTATTAGGTGTCAAAAGATGATTATTTCGTTTTAACGTTTTAAAAAGGCTTATTCTAATTACATCCTTACATAAAAAAAATATTTTTTATATTTATACACCCCTTTTTACATAAACGAACAAAAAAACAACTAAATTCCAAGAACAAAAAAAATTCAATTTTAACCTTTTGATATTTTAACTTTTAACGCTTTAACTTTTTTTTAATATGTTTCTATCACATCTTTTATGTTTTCAATCTTTAATTTGTATTGTAATTATATAAATAACATATTCACGAGTAAGAGTACAATCTATATATTCTTCATACACATTGAATTTATGTTGGCACGAGACAATCTATGTACTTGCATCTTGAAGACGATAACGTGTCCAATGGTGCGTAAGTGTGGCCATTTAATATCACATTTATGTAATGGTTACCATTAACATGCACTATTGCAATTGTCACGTGTTGAGATGACGACGGATGTTGTGTCCTAAATGGTAAGTATGTCACGTTGTCTGCTATATTGAGAACATGCAGTATGACATTTAACCTTGAAACCGTTAGAATGCTCATTTCAGGCATAGCAATCCAATGCATAGCTAGTGCGAATACACCTTTTTGGAAAAAATTCAACGTTTTGTGAATGCATAAGCACTCATTGCTAATCACATAAGAGTAATATTGTTCATACTAAGTTAGTTCAATCATTAACTCTTTACGAGTATTGTCTCATTCGTCTTCATGACCACCCAGACAAGTAGATATCACTCGATATCCACAATTTACATCGCCCAATACATCTTGTATTTGTATGATGTATAGATAAAATAAAGTCGGGATTTGATCAAGATACAAATGTCGGGTGGTGGGTTATCGTTGGAAGTAGAAACTATGTATCGTTGATTCTTGATGCCCCAAATCTTCAGAGTTAATAATTGTTGGCACATTAGAACAACTACGTCTATGGTCTTCAATAATTATATTGATCAAAGCTTGATTCTTTGTAGATGGAAGGCCACAAGTGGTTCTATGAACCAAGGGTTCATCAAACGGTTTTGATGGCAGTATTATATCCTTCAACTTTCTGAGTAAGCTTTTATGACCATGAGATGATTGCTTGTTGAAATTTTCTATGAACATTTGAACTTCATCGTCACATCCGATTTAGTCATCTTGTATGGACACACAGGGTGAAAAATCAAGTTTTTTCCAAAATATATCTATTGCATCAAACGGAATGGGTATGTCTTGACATGTATATAGTGCTTGTTCATGAGTACATGACAACCCATGACTTCTACGCAGTTTATAACCACAATTTACAGAAAATACGCTAGTGTGGAAAGACCATTCATTTTCAGTGGAAATCATATCAAGTGCATGAAATGAAACAAATCCCACAAAATTTGAAAATGTGATTTTCCAAATCAATGTTTCCTAATAGTTCTACATTGTTCAAAACTTGTTTTAATCGACGTGTCATGTGACTGGATTACTTGATGGATATGAGATATAATTTTTTGTAAATCTGCTCGGGAAGTCTTCAAAAATAATTTTAGTTTAGAATGTTGGCTTTCAACTATGTTTGTTGTGTGATTTCCAAAGTTTAAAACCTGATCAACCCAAGGCAGATACAACCATTTCCTTATATGGTGTCAACCATACATTGTTCAGGTAATTCATAACACCTGAAAAAATACAACAAACATATGTCAATATCTTTAGTAACAATGGTTAAATTATCTTATATCAAGAATACATGGATAAGCGAGCAAGTTTTCTTGAAGTTGTCCCAAGTTGTACGTGTACCATTCCTGATTTTGTGATTCAAGTAATTGCAACCATAATTGACAAAAAGAATTCCACGAGTAAGACTCGTGAATCGATGGTCTACAATGTTTCAAAATACCTTGAAAGATATGTCATCTACAAAGTAACTCTTTAGCACCCGGAAATACCACTTTGCATGCATTAATCAAAGCCAACACTTTGTATGTGACCATGACATCTGGGTAAAAGTTATCGCATATTTTGGATAGACAATCTAACGCCCAAGTATGATATAATTTCTTGATGCATAAAAACAAATGTTATGCAAAATGTCAGGTTGGTCGCTGTTACACCAACTATCTCAAGAAGAGGCATGTCGTACCTGAATAATAAATTAACAAAATAATAATGTTAAAAAAAATAATAATGTTAAAAAATAATAATATTGACATTAACATAATAGACATGCATTTTAAGGTACATATTTATTTTATATGTGGCATCGATGACCAACACTTGTGGGAATGTATGCCAAAGCTCAAATGATCTTGGATGAATGAAGAATAAATCTTCCAACTCGTTTGTTTCGAGTCTCAAAATCATAATTTTTGTTAATAAAAAAAATCAACAACCTGCATTTGTGGTCTTCCTGCATCGTTGTTTTCTTAATCTTTTGTTGTTCATTGTATATTATTTTTGATGTAGATGCATTTTCCGTATGTCTACCCTTTAACGTGGAAAAGATGTATCGTGGCTTGACATGTTAGGTTAATAGATCTTCAACTAGTTGAACTTCAGTTTCATTCATCCGCATTGCATATGCATGACCCTCCATATATTGTGCAAGAACATAATTATGTGCATCGCATATCACCGTCAACGTCCACCAACTACGTGTAGCTGAAAATAGCGCTATCAACTCAAATGGGCATCCAAACTTTTTTGTTCCAGTATGACGAATGAGAATTGTTTTACTTTTGTAAACCTCACCGTGTTCACACATAAATACGACTTTATAGACATTCTCATTTGGCTTTGTCTTTGATCTTTTCGTAACAACAACACAACCAACTAAACATTCCACATTGTACATCCACTCAGTTATTTCTTCCCGAGAATCGAACAACTGGAAAAAAAATTATAACTTTCACTTATACACGTAAGTATTAATAAACTTAAATATCAATTAACATAATATTGTACCTCGTTGGTGAAAAAATCTAGTGTTGTTGTCAAATCTTCTCCCATATTTATCTTTTGTAACTTTGATGTATATTGAAGAATGAGAGAGTTATATATTGAAGAAGAACGTGAAATATCGAATGAACGATTCATTCATTC